GGGGGGGGTGTCTTCATATCTGTATGGGTGTTTTACTTGCTGCCTGTGAGACCCTTTTTTGTGCGCTTTTCCCCTTTCAAATTAGTCCACTGCAAGTGACTGTAGCTCCTCTAGCTTACAAGCCTTTAAACACACATGAGTTATTTTTCCGAGGCTGATGCTGCGTGCTGGAGGCCGTTGCACCAGGCAGCCCACAACCCCAGCTCTGCCCCACACAAGGAGAGGGCTCAGGGCCATCCCCCTTGCTGCTCACCTCAGCGTGAAACGCTTCCCTCCCTCTGCTGTTTTTGGGGCCCCTCATGCCAGCATCGCGAGGGGGCTCGGTGGCTGCATCCCTGTGACGCATGCTGGAGGCAAGAACATCCCTTGGCTGCATGCTGGGGGTGGGAAAAGACAACCCGGGGCAACAGGGACCATCGCACAAGGTGGCGGCAGGATGGTATTTGAGGATGTCAGCTCTCTGTCCCGCCTGGGCACATGGGGATTTTGGCGTGGGCTGTGGGCAGGCGCGTGCCCGTGAGGTGGGATGGCCCCCAGGGACGCACAGCTGGCTGCACAGCTGGCAGGGAGGGGGGCAGGCCGCCCTGCAGCACGGATTGCCGCCCGGTAACACCTCCGTATTGGGGTGTATGGATTTGCTGCTGGCGAGGCTTCATTTTTAAAATGCATTAGCAGCTCGAGGTCACTTACAATAGAGGCTTTAATTAAAGTAGAGATCAATTTTTGTCAGTGCGCTAGCAGAGCACATTCTGTACTTTTCCTTCAGGACCCACGTTCGCTCGCTTGTACAAAAAGCGTCACAGGGAGAGGGGGGAGCTCTGCAGAAAAAAAACCTGAAGCACCAGAGTCAGTTTGCGATGCTGAGGGCCAACAGCTGCTGGAAAACCAGCTGTATCCATGATCGCTGGTGCACGCAGACAGCCCACTGTGCAGGCAGGGCAACGCAGTGGGTTTCAGTACGTAAGGGTCTCTCCTGGGATCCTGCCTAAACGAGGAATTTAATTCGCAGACATCTTCGGTAAGCAGTGCATTAGATGGGTGGTTTATGTCAACGAGGCTGTGCGCAGCGCGGCTGGGCACCTCATGGCTTTGTTTTGCTCTTGGTCCTGAGAGTCCGGGGTCCCCTGCTGTGACAGACTAATGCAAAATGCATTAGCGTTAGTGGCAAGATCTCAGGAGTCATTGCTTCCCAGGGTCTTAAAAGAAAAAGCAACCTGGACACTATTAATAGATACCAACTTGTATCACCGTGCCTTCCCTCCATGCGTTACAGCCACTCATGGAAGTTGTGCAAATCCGGATTCAGACAGTGCAGCAGGCAGCAGTGCCCAAAATACAACCCAGCCTGCAAACAGACTTGGCCCAATGCTTTTTTTTAATTTTTTTTTTTTTTTTTTTTTTAGGAGGAGGAAAAACAGCGAAAAGGGGG